GCCAGGCTGCTGCAGGGAGTGCCGACTTGAACCCAAAGGCACTGCCCTGCGTCGCACGGCCCAGTTGCAGGACTAGGGACCGACACTGCACCGCAGAGAAAGCTACAGGTTGCCTTTCTTCTGACATCTGCAAAAGTAGCTGGTGAAAAGCTGCACAGAGCCACGGCGAAGACAAAGCATGCCGATAATAGTAACGGGGCTAAGTGCTGGCGAGCGGAGGTCCAGGGTGGTAAAAACGTGGAAGGGACTCTGAGCAGAATGTCTCAGAGGAGGCAGGCACGGTGTGTGAGCTGAGGTGGTGTGTGGCCAGGAGTCGGTGCAGCGAGCAGGCCCCTGCCACGGTCCCACGATGGGTGTCGGGGACACAGAGGGGACATCACCTCTCCCCCAGCTCTCCCCAGCTCTCGGAACCCCATGGGCCCTCACAGAATTGCAAGGGTTCTCAGCCTCCTGCTGCTTTTTAAAATGATTATTGTTGGGACCAGCAGTTAGCGCAATGGCTATGAGGGGGCTGGTTCTGGGGTTGCTGATGAGCAGGTGACCTCTGGGCAACTGACAGCCCCTCACACCCCACAGGAGCTCTGAGAAATGAACCGTCTTCCCCGGGCCCACCAGGGAGGAAGCCGACCACACCGTCCAGCCCATTCGCTCCCAGAAGGGTGACGTCTCAGCGCCCTGGCCTGGCCCCTTCCTTCCTTCCCCTGGAGGAAGCTTCAGGCTGCAAGTACGGGTGCTCCCAGTGCCAAGGGGAGGGTGACAGCGGGCGAGTCCAGGCCGTCTGCCTCTCCACTCTGGCTCTGGCACTCACAGAAATAACAGGGGTGGGGGAACTTGCAAGTGAGTTGTATGGTGGCCACTGGCTCTGTGGTGCTCACCACCAAAGGGACACCTCCAGGCAGAGGAGGTGCGAGGGGCACCCCAACCGCAAGGTGCATCACAGAGGGCCCCCTTGCCTGTGGCTGTGCAACCCCGTGCTAGCACTGGCTGGACAGGCACCCCCAGGCTGGGTGCAAACTGAGCAGCCGTCTCTGGCTGTCTCGGATGGGTGGTGGCTGTGCCTGACTTAGGGAGCAAAAAAAGACCCACAGCACAGCAACATCAGGGTCTGAGGGGGCTCGGTCCAGGCTGCCATGGGCCCTTGCTGCCAGGTTTGCCTAGAGGGTCCCCAGAGCTGAGCACAGCGAGCTCCTGGCCTGAAGCCTAGTAAGTCTCGGCAAAGCAGTTGTTCTCGAGCTCACCCTGCGCCAGGGCAGAAAAGCCAGACCCTGCTCCAGAGGACAGACCGAGAGCTTCCCGGGGAGATGCCTGGGCTATTATGAACATTCTGCCCAGTCCCTGTGTGATGTGCGCAGCCCCCATGCACGCGGAGGCTGGGGCTCTGTGCCAGGAGGGCGCTAATGGCCCGGGGTCTACTCTGAACCTGCAGGGCAGGCACCGTCATGGCCCACGCAGCAGGTGAGCAACTGAGGCTCAGGGCAGAGAAGGAATTTACGAAGGCTGAAGGTCGCAGAGCGAGGCCCTCTCATCAGGAGCCTGCCCCAGGGCCTCCTTGGGAATTGGAGGCAAGTCTTGGGCTGTCCCTGTGTGCTCGGACAGGAAACGAAACAGCGCTCAGGAAACCAACCAGCCCCACATGGACCAAGAGACCAGTGCCCTAAACAAGCCCTCTGCCCAAGGACAGGCTTCGGCAAGGCGAGAGGGAGGAGCCGGGGTGGGACGTCGGGTATGCAGCAGCCGTCCACATGCAGCCCTGGCGGGTTCCCAAGTGCACATCCTCCCACGTGGCTGATCTCGGGGAGGCCCCCGAGTGAGGAGCTGGAAGGGACGCTGCCACACAGATACGATGGACGCGACTGACCTAGAGTGTGAGAAAGGAGAACCGTAGAAACAGCTGGAAGTGACGCCTTGCCGTTAGGGAGCACTTCCTGTCTTATAGAAAGGCTTTGCACGGTTCTGCCTTGTACTAAGTTCAACAAAATCGGCTCCCTGGGGAGGGTGCGAGCGACTCAAACACAGTACTGGGCACCTCGCCTCTTGTCCCCTGGCCAGCTCACAGCCTTCCAGGGTCCAGGGTGGAGGCTGAAGTCGGACTCTCCTGGGGTTGGAGTGGGGGCCACATGGGAAAGCCTTGCCCAGGAGCGTGCACAGACCTGCTTTGTAGATCCCAAAGCCCCCTGCTGACGGGTGCGGAAATGAGAATCACTTCCCAGGTGATGGCCAGAGCCCAGAGAGGGCAGAGAGCGGCCCAGGGGTGCACAGCTCATCAGATGCGTCCCTGTAAGGACTTCCCTGGCCTGGGGCCCTGCCCCCCCACCCTGTCCTTTGAGCTGCAAGGCCACAGCTTTCTTACCCGGGGCTGGTTGTGTTGGCACAAACCTCCCCGTGTCTGGGAGCCGGGAGGAAGCTGACGCCTGCTGACAACTGGGGAAGTTTAAATTCAGTAAAGACCAAGCTCAAAGCGCTCACCTCCTGCCCAGCGGCGCGGGACCTGAAGGGGCTCCTGAAGCCCACCCAGGCCTGTTTCTACAGACCTCCCACCCCATGCATATCCTCCCTCATGGGGCTGTCATGGCATCCACTACTGTGACATTCGGGACATGGCCACCCTGGGCGACCATAGCATCTCGTCTGGGCTGCCCCATAAAACACCCGGGTCACTTCCCTCTCCGTATTCCTTTCCATTAGCAGCGACTGAGGCTGGGGTGTGAGTTCTGGAGGCCCAGATCAGCCTCAGTGTGGTTTTATACACCCACCACGCCTGGGGGAGGGGGTCATTAATCATCATCCCCTTCATTTTTTTTTTTTTTTTTTAAGAGGTTTTTGCAATAGGGCGTGTGCGCTCGCCAGCCAGAGAGACAGAAAGGGAGAAATCACCCCCCAGGGAGGATGGCCATGCCGCACTCCCTTCTCCTCCATTCTCCTCGTGGGATCCTGGGCACGCACGCACACGCGCCTGGCGTGAGTTTTAAGCCACCGGGTCCGGGATGCGACCCGCGGTCGGCCACGTGGGAGTCCAGCGACATGGCCATTATGCTAACTGCTGGTCCCATCATCCCCTTCTTTTTTTTTTTTTTAAGAGGTTTTTGCAATAGGGCGTGTGCGCTCGCCAGCCAGAGAGACAGAAAGGGAGAAATCACCCCCCAGGGAGGATGGCCATGCCGCACTCCCTTCTCCTCCATTCTCCTCGTGGGATCCTGGGCACGCACGCACACGCGCCTGGCGTGAGTTTTAAGCCACCGGGTCCGGGATGCGACCCGCGGTCGGCCACGTGGGAGTCCAGCGACATGGCCATTATGCTAACTGCTGGTCCCATCATCCCCTTCTTTTTTTTTTTTTTAAGAGGTTTTTGCAATAGGGCGTGTGCGCTCGCCAGCCAGAGAGACAGAAAGGGAGAAATCACCCCCCAGGGAGGATGGCCATGCCGCACTCCCTTCTCCTCCATTCTCCTCGTGGGATCCTGGGCACGCACGCACACGCGCCTGGCGTGAGTTTTAAGCCACCGGGTCCGGGATGCGACCCGCGGTCGGCCACGTGGGAGTCCAGCGACATGGCCATTATGCTAACTGCTGGTCCCATCATCCCCTTCTTTTTTTTTTTTTTAAGAGGTTTTTGCAATAGGGCGTGTGCGCTCGCCAGCCAGAGAGACAGAAAGGGAGAAATCACCCCCCAGGGAGGATGGCCATGCCGCACTCCCTTCTCCTCCATTCTCCTCGTGGGATCCTGGGCACGCACGCACACGCGCCTGGCGTGAGTTTTAAGCCACCGGGTCCGGGATGCGACCCGCGGTCGGCCACGTGGGAGTCCAGCGACATGGCCATTATGCTAACTGCTGGTCCCATCATCCCCTTCTTCATCTGGCAAACTCCTATTCATCCTTCAAAGCCCTGAGTCAAATGTCTCCAGCCATGGAAGCCCCTCCCCGCACATCCACTCCCATGTGGTCCCAGCGCATTTGTTCAGCATTCACCCCCAAGGACGCAGAGGGTGCTGATGTAACGGCAGGGCCCTGGCAAGGCTGCGGCAGCACTGCGCCCCATGGGACAGCACGGCCCCACCTCGAAGAACCTGCATTCAACCCAGGAGGCAAGCTCCGAGCAGCTGAGGCTGTTTGATCAAAAGCTGCCACGATCCCGCCCCCCACGATGTGCTGCGAAGCACCTCGCACACAAGTCAGTTCGCCTCCACACCCACTGAGGCTGCCGGGTTCGCCTCTCGACCCCTCTGTGCAGACATGCTCCTAGCTCACTCGCCTGGGCTCCCGTGCTCCCCCCCTCCCCTGCCACTCCCTGCTCCACCTCTCCTCTGCCCTGGAAAACAAAGCACACTAAACATGTCCCTTTATCCCTGGCCTCTGCAGCACAGCTCACAGCAGGGCGGGACATCTGTATCCCCAAGCCCAGGACGTGCCTGGTGAACAGTGGCCACCCAGATGCATCTGTTGGAAAGGACGTGTCGCTCTCTCTCTTGGAGATGGGCTCGCTGATGCTCAGAGATGTCAAACAACTGGCCTGATGTCACACAGCTGGTGAGTAGTGGAGCCTGGATTCGAACCAGGCTGTTCTGGGCTTCCCCCACTTGACTGCACCACCTGGGGGACCCCACATAGTGCCTTCCTCAGAGCTTCTGCAAAATGTTTACGGAGTGAAGTCCCCGCACGGATGCCTCACTCAGGCCACACGCATTTGGTCCCCGGTGGCGGAGGCTAACGCCATTTCAGTTCGCGCTCTTGAATCAGGTGCTGCTTCCAGAAGAGAGCAGGACAAGGCCAGGACGGCTCTGCGCAGTCGTGGGGGTCCCGGCTGCCCACGGGAGAGGAGCTTTCCGGGGGCAGTGGGGCCCCTCTGCCGAGCAGGCGGCTCTGAGACACTCAGGTCAAGAGGACCCTGCCCTGCCACGTCTGGGGGAGCACTTCCGGGCGCATGTGGGGCCTGCAGACCACCTACCTCCCAGCTGCCTCCCATCCTCAGGGCCCGCCCAGCCGCCCCTCCCCGGGCACTTACACGGGCTTTCTCGGCCAGACTCACGTGCAATGCCCGCTCCCAGGTATCCGTGGCAGAACCGGCTTCCAGGAGCAGTAGCAGGAAGCACAGCGTCCAGACGCCCTCCCCTCTGCAGCCATCCATCCTGCAGCCGGCAGAGGGCACTTCCTCCCCGAGCGGCCGTGTTCCAGATGCCGAGGACAGGGACCCCTCACTGGGGGGCCCGTCTGTGGCCTTCGTCCCACTCAGTGGTCCCTTGGATCACGCGTCGCACCCGCACGTGCCCTCCGCGGAAGTGCCGGCGGTCGTTCTCAGCCTTAGAACATCTGGCTGCAGAGACGCCTACCGGGGCATCTGCAGCCCAGGCTGCTAGGACAGGCGGCCGCAGGACAGGGGTCACCAGGCTTGCTTGGAGACGTGGTGGGAGTGGCCGTCACTCTCCTCTGTCCATAATGAGCACTTCCTTGCAGGCTGGGGCGGTCCCCTCCCCGGGAGGTGTGCAGGCTGGGGGCTGGGGGCCAGTGGGACGGGCCTATGGGAGCAGCCTGAGGGAGGGGAGGGGGCCGACCGCTGCCTTGGCCAAATGCTGAGCTGGGCGGGCAAGAACCGCCTGCCCAGAAAAGCTGCCTTGGAAGGCGGTGCTGGGCAAGACTGGCCCAGTGTGTGTGGCCCCCAGGGGGAGGCAGACCCTGCACCCTGGCTGCCTCCTCTGCTGTGGGCGGATCTGGAGGTTGTTCCTGCCATGACGACGTGTTTCTGGTGAGACGGATATGAAGTTGTGCCCGAGAAGTGTTTCACATACATCGTAAGGGGGCTGTGAAAGCCGGCTCGTGTGCGTGCACACACGTGTGCATATGTGTGTCTTACACACATTTCACAAACTCTATGCCCTGTTGCATGTCCTCAGCACCCCAGGACCGGTGCTGTTTTCATACCATCATGCAGATGAAGAAACAGCTAGAGACCTCTCCGGCCACCGCACAAGGCCCATCTGCCCACCGCACACGGCTCCAGGGAAGCAGACACCCCAGCTCAGACCCCACATGCCTGGGCCGGGTCCCTGCTCACCTCGCGGGGGCAGTGAGATGTGGGAACCTCCCCGCATGCTGCTCAGTGGCTCTGCCCCACAGGAGGCCTGAGAGAGCACCCTCCCGAGCTGGGCGGCATGGCTGCAGGCAGGGGCCCAGTGCTGTGTGGATTGAGTGTGTAGTGAAGTCGGTCCCAGGCCTAGTAGGTGGTTTGGTGGTTAAGGCGCTGGGCTCCACACGACTGTAGCTGGAGGATAGCAGAGGGGAAGGGCTTGCCGCGCCGTCACCCCTGGAGGGGCTTTCTCACTTTCCCTCTCTGCCTCTCTGTCAAGCACGTGCGTCCTGTGGCAAAAATCCTAGGGAAAAAAAGGTTGGTTTTTCCACCTCTGGGGACCTTCTCCTCCTACCTGCCGCCCGGGGCAGCCCTCGCGATGCCCTGGGTGGGCGCCGCAGGCTCTCTCGGTGCCTCTCGGTGATGGCGGGCAGCTTGAAGTGCAGCCGGCCCGTGGGCACCTTCTACACGAGTGTGCAGGTCTCGGCCCAGCCCAGAAGCAGGCTCTCCTACGGCCAGCCGCCACACACAGAGGTCAGGACGCTTGTCCCATGTCGTCGGCTCTGGAGCAAAAGCGAATTTTAGGAGCCTTCAGAGTCGTGTAAATGCACTTGACGGAGCCTGAGACCCAGTGTCCCCGCACATCTGTGCCCTAGGTGTCCCACTCGCATCCCCCAGGCTCCTCCTCTGTAAAACGGGGTACAGAGCTGGAGCCCACCCTGCAGCCTGCCAGAAAGATGGCTGCAGTCATCTTGCTGTGTTAGTGCCCTGGGCAGTGGCCACCCCCTGGCCTCAGCCCTTCTCCCTCTGTCCTTCAGGGTAACCTCCCCGGCTCAGGCTCTCTCCGGAGGCCTATTGCTCGGGGCTCGGGACCCGGCGCCGGCTCTCCTGGGCAGCTGCACCTGTCAGACATTGTACGTGCATGCCAGTTTCGGTCTCAGGGGGTGGAAAGAATGTAACTACCCCGTTAGGAATTTGCTTAGTGACTGAGCGGCTTTCAGGCTGTCCTAGATTAAAGAAAGTTTATTAGTGAACTAATTGTACCTGTTTCTTTGGACTATTTGACAGGGCTTGAACTGCACACTTCCGCGTGTGGGCTGCACATTTCTATTCAGTGCTGAGGAGCGCGGACCGAGGCTCCCAAACTCCCTCCCTCGCACTCGACCCCTTTCAGAGACCGTTTGCTTCTCTCCCACCCAGCACTGTATCCGGTCTCCGAGTCAGGGCTTCAAAACGTTCGTGTATTCGGTTTTCTTCTCTGGATAACAAATGACTCATGCTTATTAGCAGAGAATTTGGAAGACCAAGGAAAGAATGAAGGTATTAATACACAGAAATACCCAATGTAGACTGCCTTCTTTCTTTTTGAAATTACAGCGCGCGCACGCAAGGGAGAGAGAGCTTTTCTGCATCACCAGAGCCGGGTGCCCGCAGCGGGGTGCTCAGGGTTCCCCGTGAAAGGCCAGCTCTGCAGCAGTATTCAGACGTCGGAACCCAGGGCGCTGAGCCGAGACCCCTCAGGCAGCTTCTTGCAAATGTAAACTCATAAAATGACCCTCCGAAACCCTAAGGCAGGACAACTGTGTCCGGGGAATGCAGAGCACGCGCGGGGAGAAAACGGCTCCCAGCGCGCGCGGCAGAGCACGTGGGCCCAGCAAGGCAGGAGCTTTCCTTTGATCAGCCGTGAGGCGGCATCAGGGCCTGACAGCCCTGCGGGACGCTCCTAGCGGGGCCGGACTAGCCAGCCAGGGTCTGGGTCCTGTCACAATTCCGGGACGGCACCCCTCCCTGGGTTCCTGCAAGCCTCAGAACTTTGTGTTCCCACTGTCTGAGGCCCTTCCAGTTCATCTGAGTTCTGCAAACCTGAACTTGATCCCAGCTGAGGGGCCTGGCCTCCTGGGAGTCACCAACTCATTAGTGCAACTTCCTGTGACCCGGAGGAGAGGTCTCCTCTGGGAAAGCCTGGAGGATGGCTGGCCTTTCGTCTCCTCTATTCTGAGGGGCCTGCTGGGGCCCACAGCTGAGGCCTGCCCAAGGTTCCCCTCCCTCAAAAAAAATGAGGACAGTGTCGCCTTTAAAATACAAAAGGCACAAGTGGTTATGGGCCTCACTCTCAGGAGGCAGAGGACAAAGTCACAGGTACAGGGTCTAGGGTGGCACCTCGCCCTTCTTCCCATGATGAAACTTTCCTGCCAGGAAGTTTTCTCCCATAGTGATCTTCTCAGGCATAGGGACAGGTAGCATTGATTCACACTTCGTACTAAAGTGTGAGTGACTTCCAGCAGAGAGATGTGCACTGACAGAGGAAGAGCAGACTACATTCATGCACGCACTCATCTGAGTGTCTACTGTGTGTTAGGCCTGGGGATACGAGGCCCAGCCCCTGCCCCTCTGGGGCTTACCGCCAAGTGGAGGGGTCACATATTGATTGGTGTTTTTAATGAACACTTAGATGGCGCTTTTCGGTGCCAGATGCTGCTCCAAGGGCTTTAAAAATAATCACGCTAATCTCTCCACCTCTGCTAGGTTAGTACTCCGTAAAATTCCCACTTACAGAGAAGGAAACTGAGTCTCAGATTCTCAAGTGACTGGTTGGAGAAGTTCGCTCATCTAATCGATCCGAACTCTGATAGGCAGATGCTCTTAGCAGCCCCATTTTACGGGCAAGAAATGAGAATCGGTGAGATTAAGACCTTGGCAACAATACACAGCTGGTAAGATTGGCATTCCAACCCAAACCCCCGCTTCCCGAGCTCGAGCTTAAACCCACTGAGCACTATCCAGGGAGCATGAAGGTGCGGTGAGGGCAGGCGGCGCGGTCTGACTTGGTCAGAGACGCCAGCAGAGGGTTCCCCGAAGGGGGCCCAGAGGACGGGGAACTCATAAAGGCTGGCGGTGGCTGCTGGGCCTGGGTGGGGCCTCCGTCCGCACAGAGCCGTCTTCTGCCACCTCCGCGTGCTCGGCCTTTGTGGGTGCTGCCTCAGCAGTGGTCTTCAGAGCCTTGAGAAGAAAGAGATGGCCTAAGCTGGACTGTGCTCTGCCTGTGATTTTAAGAGCCATGAAAATAGCTCCCGTGAGGCTTGACGGCGGTGCAGAGGGAGACGTGAAGCTCTGTGAGCCTGACCGCAGAGGCCGGCCCTGGGTCGCGCCCAGAGACTCCCCGGAGCACCGGGCACAGGTGGTGCGTGTGCCCGTGACCCGCGGCTGGCTGAGGCTGTGGCCGTGGCTCAGGACCCACTGATGTGCTACTTTTCTTTCTCCCCCACTCATGGAGGAAATAATTAGCTGGAAAACCACCTCCCTGGGCCCTTCTGGTCCCCTGGGCCCAGGCTCCGCCTGTGGTGGCAGCTGGTCAGCCCTGTGCTGCATGACCTCGGGCCAGCCACAGCACCCCCAGCCAGGAAGCCTGGACATTTAAACGAGATGATGGGGACATGCCTGCCCCGGTGGCCACTCAGCCCCGGGGGCCTAATTCACAGCGCCCCGCCCCTGCAAAGTGGGGTGGGAAAGGCTCTGGGTTGCACAATCGCTGCCCTGCCCGTCTCCAGGCTGTGAATAGGAACAGATGTTCGCTGGTCCTCCCCATTCTTAGAAAACCAGCGGTTGACCTCGGGTCCCCCCAGCCCTGCCGCTGGCCTCCCTGTCCTCTTCCCCAGCACACAGTGGACCACCCTTCCAGTTAGGGAGCTCCAGCTGAGAGCTCAGGCTGCAGAAGCCAGCCCTCCTCCACCGCCCTGGGGCCACACTGCCAAGACTGACCCCGCCTCGGGCCCAGAAGCCTGGACCGCCCATACTCCAAGTCCCCTTGGGGATTGCTGTAGGAAACGGTATGCTTTGGGCCAGTAGGAGGCCTCGGGCACGTTCTGTCCCCACCCCTAAGTGAAGGCACTGACCCTGAGCTCTTCTTGGTTTATGTCCATGCTGGGACCTCCCTCCAAAGTACAATGTGACGGTCACTTGTTTTTACCCCCAGAGTAAATCCGATGGCGACGCTCTCCCTCCCCCGCCTCCCACTGGCCCTCTAGGGACAAGCATGGTGACCTGCAACCACGGGGGATGGGCAAGGCCCAGCTGCTCGCACCTGGATACAGCAGCGTCCCCCCGTGCAGGACGGGCTACTGGCACCCACATGCAGCCAGCCCAGACCCACGAAGTCAGACCCCGACCCTATTAGATTCCATTAGATCTGCCACTGCTTCTCACGAGCGGCCAGGCCAGGAGCCCTGATGAACGTGTCCTGCCCCCTCCCATCCTGCCTGGCCACGTCCTTCCGGTGCCCCCTCGCGCCTCCCCTGGCCCTGGCCGTCCCTGATGTGTGGACTCACCTTTGCCACCTTCAAGGTCCTGCTCTCACCTAGGGCTCGACCCGTTTCCTTTCCAGGGAGACTTCCCGGGCTTCTGCAAACCTCAGCGCTCCCCAAACAGCTCCTGAGGCCCAGGCCAGCTGGCTTCCGAGAAACAGCGTTCCTGGTGCCTCTACTTGGCAGGACCCGTGCACCCACAGGGAGAAGTGGCACTC